AACTCTCCACGGGGATCAATTCCTCGTACTGTTGCTGATACTGTTCTTACCATGGTATAATGTAGTTCTATGCATGTTGTGGCTGCCTGATAGGGCATGCTGGAGGTGCGATGGATGGCGGTCAGCGGTGATGGCGAGGGATGACGATCACAACGTATTAAAACAATGACCCCTATCCCTATCCTGACCAATCTTCATCATGCTCATCGGCGAAGCTGTTGGAATCAATGTAACTGCCATCGTATGTGGTTGCTGTCCCTGTCGTTTGCCTGTTGCTGTAGCTAGTCCTCTGCCATCCCATCAAATTACCTACCATATTTGTTGCTGGTATTTTTGCTGGTGCTGCGGGGGCTGCTTCTACATACTGCTGTGATTACTCTTGCTGCAAGATATTGATCATACCTATTCCCCCTCTGTTGCTGCTCTGCTCTAGTTCTGGGGAACAAGATGCATAATATGTGTGTAGAAAAACACATACACAAGGAAGGAACTTCCACGTATGCCTTTCCACTCCTTCCATGCAGCCCTGAACGGTGAGAGACCTTGCATGCACTTGCAAAGCAATGAGGCTCTCATCTCCGAAGGACTTTAGCCAAAGCAAAGAAGGACACCGAGCACCTCGAGTGGCCCCAGCCCAAGCCGGCACATTTCTGGAATCCAGGATCCAGATTGTTGAGGAATCACGATTGGGGGCTGATCTTGTGGTCGAGAATCATAGCTCCGGTTTTGTTTCCGGGGGAATGGTAAGTCTGAGGCAAGAGACCGGCTGACCACCCTTCAATGAGATTTTGCGAGCTTGCATTTTCCGGTTGTATACAGTCTGCTGAGGATTGCAGAGCCTCTCGATGACTCGTAATTCCAGATACCAGTCCGACAAACTGGCTTTGGGAGGTATTCGTAGCAGTAGTAGTAGTCGTCGTCGTCGTAGTAGTAGTAGTAGTAGAGTAGTAGTACTAGTAGTAGTAGTAGTAGTAGAAGAAGAAGAAGTAGTAGCAGTGGTAGTGGCAGTAGTAGTAGTAGTAGTAGTAGTAGTAGTAGTAGTAGTAGTAGTGGTAGTAGTAGTAGTAGCAATAGTAGTAGTAGTGGTAGTAGCAGTAATAGTAGTAGTAGTAGTAGTAGTAGCAGCAGCAGCAGCAGCAGCATAGTAGTAAAGCAGTAGCATCTAACTACTAACTATAGCCGCAACAGTTATTACTATTGCTGCTACTACTGCTACTACTACTACTACTACTACTACTGCTACGACTACTAGCAC